ATGAATTTAAGAAACCCAGACTTGCAGTGGACACAGTGACCCTAACGTTAGTATGCCCCATAATGCTTATTGCCAAGATGAGTAGGGGTGGAGGCTCCCTCGCTCTCCAATTAGTTATCTATGGTGTGATTTGTCACAATCACCGATTARTTCATGTTTCATTTTGCTGGTATAGAGACCATTGTTGGAGTGAATAAGTACCGCTTGGATAAGGAAGAAGAATTGGAGGTTCTGGTAGTGGATAACACTCGTGTTCGAGAACAACAGGTAATACTTACAAGCTTTCAAACAGTCAGTATTGCTTGCATTTTTTTTTTTTTGGACTTGGAGAAAAACAAATCCACTTCTTAATGAACTTCGCGAAATTACATCTATTGATACTTTTTAAACGTCATCTTATTGACTTATCGACTTATCTTTTTAAATTAGCTTATAAATGCTAAATATTTCTAGCTTCTATCACTATTTATATTTAGTAGATATTCACTTTGCCTTCGTTGAATAATTGTCAAATATTATCATTATAATAATCATGTTTTTCAYGTTTTAGTTTTTATAGTATTTTAGAACGGTAGTAATTTTTTTCTAGATTAGTGGCAAATAATTGTAATGCGCATTTGATCATTATATGTAATCTGCGCAATATAAACTAATAAATTAATAAATTAATATAATCATAATTGAATTAATAAAATGTATTTCTTTGATTTTAGCTTGAGAAGCTAAAGAGAATGAGAGCATCTCGAAACAACGATGAGGTAAGGTACACTCGTGGATCATTTAGGGGATATATGCATGCAAGTCTTGATAAAAACGCACACACTTTTCAACATAGTTACTTTTTGAAATCACGTATTTACTTTTGAGATCACACTCACATAGAAACCAAAGTTTTAATCTACACATTCTGATCAAATTCTTGCTGTTTGGACGGCTTGGAAATCTATACAGATTATGATATTCTGATTCATTAATGTTTATACTTACCTTACAAGGTTAAGACAGCTTTGGATGCCATCACAGAATGGGCTAAAACTGGCAAAGGGAACGTCTTGGATCTGGCTATTAAGGTTTGTGTTCACATGTATGTACTGTATGAAGTACGGGTAAAGAGACTGGACTGATACTAAACATATTAATTCATCCATAGGCTGCCCGTGTGCGATGTACTGTAGGAGAAATTACTGAAGCTATTGAAAAGGTAAGTGCAAATATAGGAACACTACCTCACAGCAAACATTGGAGCAAAGCCAATATTTAAAATGTTCTACGACACAAGCAAAAAGACTGATGATCAATCACATGCTAAGGAATCAAAGTTTATCTTACGATAGAAATAAATGGATAAAAGTATCAAATATTTGTTTTAGGTGAGTGNAAAGTTTATCTTACGATAGAAATAAATGGATAAAAGTATCAAATATTTGTTTTAGGTGAGTGGTCGCCACGTAGCCAGTGATCGTATGGTGAGTGGTGCGTACAAGACAGAATATGGTGAAGCAGATGAGATCAAGAATTGCGTCAAAAAAGTAGAGGTGAGTTGTTTGTATAAGAGACTTTTGTTGATCCCACCTGACTTCCCTCCCCGCTCATGGCAGCGCTTTATTGTTTATAATATCGTTGGTACTATTTATCGTTGATGGTGTAGGAGTTTGTGGAAGCAGAGGGACGACGACCAAGAATCCTYGTAGCGAAGATGGGACAGGATGGTCATGATAGAGGTGCAAAGGTCATTGCTACTGGATTTGCTGATCTTGGATTTGATGTTGACATTGGACCACTATTCCAGGTACGAGACCAGATCAATTAATACCTGGGTTTGGAGCAAATGTATTCAGCCAAAAGGCTATAGTGCATAGAATCTGCATCATTGATCATTTTAATGCTGTTCTAGACACCAATAGAAGTGGCACAACAGGCAGTAGATGCTGATGTTCACGTGGTTGGCATCAGTTCTCAGGCTGCTGGTCACAAGACACTCACCCCTGAACTCATCAAAGAACTGAAGAAAATGGGAAGAAGGTGAGAAAATGCTTCATCCATGCTACTCCTCACAGACGTTAAAGCCATGGGTTGTATATTTTATTTATTGCACGGGGACTGGAAAACGTCGGAAACGCTTTTGAGGCGGGTTTAACAGCTCGTGGTACATGCATGTATGTTTATCCCAGGGTATTGTTTGTTTGTTGTTGTTCTTCAGTGATATTATCGTGGTAATTGGCGGGGTGATTCCTCCACAAGACTACGCCTTCCTTTACGATGTTGGGGTGACATGTATCTTCGGACCAGGTAAGCCTATTCTGAACTGTTATCCCATGATTTATGATAGAGCTTGTTCAAGATGGCTGGACAAGAATACGGTAATATTTCCTGTACAAATGTTGGTCGCAAAGGGGAGAAGAGATATTTAATATAACACGTTTACTCTCGATACAGATTGAAAGCTATTAAAAAGTGGGACATGTAACTTTTTTTACAAGATTGTTCAGTTTTCGCTCATCCCACATGGAGAAAGCGAATGGAAAATATGACAAGATCAGCTTTCAATCTTATCCTTTTCGAATCATGGGGCGGGGTTGACAAGCAAACACCATTAAGGCGAGCTTCTGCGACCATACTCATCTGTAACGAGAAGAAATTCTAGATATTGACGTGCCACTAACGTATTCATAGGGTCTCAGCTGCCAGTTCTACTTATTTCTATAAAGTTAGTCATCAAAAACCTACGAAGCTGAGATTGCCGAGAGTCATGGAAACCAACATGTATTGTGATACAAATGTTCACTTGTCTTGAGGCAGCTCACACGTGAAACTACAACTGGTAAGAGATCCCAAGTCTATCGATGGTTATGAGGCTGTTAAACATGCAAGATGGATTACCCATAATCCTTGTCGGTCTCAGCTTTGTAGCTTTTCAGGTGATCAATTTTATTGAAAAGGGTATATATATACAAGCCTGTGAGATAAGCGATAATGACTATAGGAAGACTCTAACTACCAGATATCTTGTCACCTCTCTTCACCAGGTACTCGCATCCCAGCTGCTGCCATAAATGTTTTGGAATCAATAATCAATGGCGACGCTGGTGACAAACAAAGCTCTGCGTGAAACTGCACCCGACTTGATTCGGTGWGCTAGAAACTAGATTAACTGACAGCCTCAAGATGTTCGGTGTTCCTTTATAAATAAGCAACGAGAGACCTCTAATTTAATGTAAAAAACATGTCCTCAAGAAACTATGCTAATATCTTGTTGATGTACCATGAATCCATCGAGATATTTCACGCGCATAGAAAACGTTTTTCTTTCTCTAGTACCTTGGCACAAACGTTTTTATACTTATCTTCCTGAAATGAAGACTAGGTGTTCAAGGCAGCATATTGCGGCTTAAAATTATCCTTATTTTTAACAAAAAGAGATACTTTTGCTTTGAAATAAAATGCTTTGACTACATATAAGCATGTGTATGGTTCAGACTTCCTCAGTTACCGTTGCTATGTTCCACGACCTAATCATTTTACCTAGAATATCTCAGAATTTTAAACTATGATCTCAAAAATATATTTTGTTAATGATTAARTTTTACTATACGATTAGAATACAAGAAAGAAGCTTATTCTTTAGAGTATTCCTTGATGACGGGATATTAGTTGCTATTTTCTCCATCAAAAAAACTTATTACGGCGACTGGCTCACCGTCATTTTCTGCCTCGGGACCATGAATTATTGTTGTTAAAGTACACGCAAAAAAAAAAAAACTTATTACGTTTTATTTAATATTTTAGGAATCATTTGTAGACCCGACAATAAACAATAAAGTGTAAAAAAAAAAAAAAAATTGAAAATAAAAAATGAAAACATTGCTATGGTTGAATAAGAGAATCAATCTATGTTGTACAGTTTAGTAACATTTGCACAGGTATTCCTAACTTTTACGTTAACATTAACCTTCAGATATTTAGATCACAATGTGATTACATCAAGCCTTCATAGCTGCAAGTCGCCTGTGTTTTTTTAGGGGGAATAGCGACAGATCATATTGACTGAATCTCTTAGGCCACGCCTAAATGGTATTTTCTTTTCGCGGCTTCGCAAGGTCAGGCTGTCCGCACAACCCCCACCCCCTTAGTAATAAGATAGACAACTTCATTTCCACCTGACATCAGTTTAATACAGTAATCCTGGTTACACAATCGTTTGATGTTTGAGATATTGATCGTTTGTACTACCGCCGCCTGAATTAGATCGATCTTATAAAAAAGACGTTTGTTGAATACATATATTTGAACTACGCAATATACCTGTTGATTACGGCGGCGACTGACGCAGGCGGGGTTCAAAGACAAGGATTACAAACACGACGATTAATGAAAACGCATTTACAGAAAATGACAAAATGCGGGTTGCAGGTTTATAGGTGGGGATACTGATCTATATTCTTTAAGGACTTTTTGACCTAGAAGTCGGCCATCATGGCCACTACATCTTCGTCCTCATCTTCAACTTCACTCTCCCGACGTTCAGTTTTCTCTGGTTCCTCGACAACTACTTGTAGCTCTGGCGCATCGGTTGAAGGTTGCGCAAGGGAGACCAACCCAGGAGCAACTGATTTAACAAAAGCTTGTGTTAACAAAGCTCCTTTTCTTAACTTAAATGTAGGTTTCCACGAAGATGAAGGTTTGGGTTCATCAGCAGGTTTCTTGGTGATTGAGGGAAGGTTCTTGTCTGTTCTTAGTTCGGTTTCCTGTTTGGTTTGTGGAGCGTTGACGAAGCAGCTCGCTTGCAGGGGATCACTGTCAAAGACGGGTCGGCTGAAAAATTGTAACAAAATTAAGAAAATTAGTCATGCCAAATAATATAAAAGGAATAGGGGGATTACGTGAACAAACTACCGAGGGGCAAAAATCCACGATTCCCACCAGTGTCCCACGATAGAATTTCCTTAAGTCTATAGAAGGTTGACACATTAATTTAGTATTTAGAATTCCCGCCCGTTTTTGAACATTCCTGGATTGGCTGTGCTCAATGAAGTACGAAATATAAGTCAGTTCAATGCTTACTTCTGATCTTCACTAGTATCGACGAGGTCGCCAGACAGATCAGGCTTCAGTCCAATACGAGAAAGTCTCTCCTTTGCTACTTCTTTCAACATTTCCTTCATCGAGGGGTACTCCTCTAGGACCTCATGGAAGTGAGTCGATGAGAGTGAGTAGAGATCGCAGATGGTCGCCGCTCTTACAGATGCTACACGACGTGCTTCCTTGGTTAACAGACAGATTTCTAGCATGGATGGAAGGAGATTCAAAGTTAAGACTGAATGATTCATTCCAAGACCAAAGTGCATTGCGGGTCAAAGTGACACTGTCTAAAGTAGGATTAATAATAATTACTTAATCTATTAATTCTAAACTGGGCGTCGCTCTGATACTGAGCAAAGCATTTGGGCTAGAATTCTTTTACATCAATTTTTCAACGATTCCGTGCGTGGCAGGTAGTGCAAGGGTTTTTAGCTGTAGGTACGGTGATCATGGTATTAGAACTGGTACACAAAAAACGAATAGGCTTCAGTGATATACCAGAAGGCTTTTCCACTTCTGACAGTGATGGTGTCGGTCGTAGTCTCCGTCACGGTATCGCGAGAAGGAAGTCTGAGTTAGATTACACTAATATCGGCTTTAAAGGACAGTATTTAATAACTTATGGACATACCTCCAAAGTGTGACCCCTCACCCAGACTGGTTGCTAGTTCATTGTCCTTAGTCAAAATGTCCACGATGCCTTTTTGAATGAAATACATCTTGTCTCCTTTACGGCCTCTGCGACAGATGTACTCCCCTGGAAGATAGACCTCAAAATGAAGCTTGGTTACAATATCTGTGATGAATGAAGTTTTGGCTGAACTAAAGAATGGAACCGAAGATAGAAGAAGGTGGACGTTATGCACCAGAATTTCCTGAAAATGAAGATGTCAACAGGTTCTAAGATTGTTCTTTTGCGAACGCCACGTTCAATCAAAAGAATATATTTTTACAACTACGACGGGGCGATCGAATCAGTTAACTCAAACCAGCTCTCATCGTCCAATATCCATGGCATGATTCAAAARCAGAGGACATGTTGGTATAAACCCCTTGTATTGGGCGACAAAACAATAGGCCGTCTTCATCTCAAGCAAGAAAAATTCATTGCTTTGTCCCTCAGAACAATTCCTCTAGGAAATAATATATGTGTAAAAAAAGAAAAAGAAAAAGAAAAAAAAAGAAAAGAAACTCTAAAGAGATTTATAGGCTTTTTTATTTTATTTTGTTTTAAGATTTTGAACCGATCAAATTTTCTACTTGATTATGTCGTTGCTCTGCAGGGCTTTGTTCTACCTTACCTCTCTAAGTGACTTTGAAAGCTCATTAAGTATGCTGTCCTCATTAAACAGCTTGTGGCGAAAGCGATGTTCGTAATATTCTTGTACTTTGAGTCGCAGTGGCAAGGACAGCTTACGGTATCTCATGTATTCCTCTACTTGATTGAACTGAAAGGCAACAAAGGATGGTTTTCATTTGCGCATTTGATCATATTATACATGCTAGTTGGCGCGTTAGAAATAACAAGATTATTTTTAAAAGATTATTATTATTATTATTATTATTATTATTATTATTATTATTATTATTATTAAGAATAATCAGAATGAATGTAATCCAGAATGAATGAAATTTTAGAGCTTTAGAGTTTAATTTTTTTTATCATCTTTATTCAAGCAGCCAGTTGTTAATTACCGGTTTCAAAGAGAGATTTACAATTGTATATGTATAGTCAACAAATAGTAAAAATAAAGTTACCATTATTATTTATTTATTTATTTATTTATTTACTTATATAATCATTTGTCCTACTGGACCCGGTTTTACGAAGAATGGATCGCGCTATCCAACGAATAAATCCTCAATCCAGTGCATAAGTCTTTGCTCGCTGTTATCCAATACATTTTTCCACAAATGTCGATCTGACTCACTACCAACCTCATTGTCAGACGTCACTAATAACCTCTACTATAATAGAGCCATGAAGCTAAAGTTACGTATACCTTTTCGTTATAAAGTCTACCAGACGAATCAATAGACATGACTAAACCAGACATGATACCAATAAAGACAGCGTAGAAAGTTGCTCCAATAGTCATGCTGAGTATAGTCAGCCACAGTTCAGTAGTGTTGTGAGGAGGGTAGCGACCATAACCAATACACAACATGTGTGACATGGCATTAAACAGTGACCAACTGTACTGTACTACCGCTGGCTCATCCTGTAATCAAGATAATGAAAGGTTGTTTGTTTACAAACTAAACGAGTCATAAATGGTACATCTATTTTTACAATAACTTACAAATTTCTCGCGCGCCGATTGGTTATTTTTTATCATTCATAAGAGGACAGACAGATAAAGCTGTTCGCGCTCGATATTTGCGTTGGATGTTTTGATCGCTAAAAATGCTCTCGGCTACGCCTTGTGGATCCACACTACTTTGCCAATGTGATGACGCAATTTATCGTCAATAAGAGGACAGACACATAAAAAAACTGATGTCTATTTGTTACATCATATCAATATCTTGTCGTACGAGTCGTCGCAGTTAACTGAAAGTTGTTGTAGTTGTCTAAATAACGACTTGTACGTTGTCAGGTAACAAGAGGGAACCTTCTTCTCCCCTAGACCCTCAACCAGTTGTAAGGTTAACTCGACGCGTTCAGCTAAAATGACTTACGAATACTGCATTAAAAGAATGTAATAACAATACGCGAAAAGTGTCTTGCCTTAAGCCCGTTAATAACGACCCAACTTTCATCAGGGAAGCCTTGTAGGTAAGGTACCAAGAACTGTACACATCCATTCCAATGGGAAAGCAACATCATACACCCAATAAGCTTCATGATTCGCAGCTGCCCACCTGCGATGTTCGTTAACTAAGAAGATAATTTTGATTGTCATCATATAATAATGATCTATATTTGACGGCGCATGGCTTATTAGGTCTCAGGTAAATTAATCACGTTCTTTGTGAATGCTTTGTTTCCAAGCTGACAGTCCTGCAGGACCGTGAGCGCGCTTTTGCAACGGGGTTACAAAATTGTCGTTGTTCTTTAATGAACGTGCCTAACAACACCTTGTGCGCAGAGGACAGCTGAGCAATACTTACCTCTTCAAAGCGCTTTATGTATCGAACAAGCCTAGAGACTCGAAGTAGTCGAAGCAAGCTAAGCACCTTTGCCAGCTTAAGGATCCTAAGAGCTCTCGATGCTTTAAGAAGCGTTTGCTCTGTAGATGTCGAAGATGCTATAAAATAAGCGTAGTCGAACGGAAGGGATGACAACAAATCTATAATGAACCATCCTTTAAGATATGTTATTCTTATTATAGCAGGRTCTAAAATAACTTCGTCTTTGTTGTTGGGATCCACCAAACCAGTGCGAAAATTAAGGAAAATATCGACCAAGAAGAACAAGTCTGAAATTCCATTGATTACGAGCCAGTGAAGAGATAGATCGTCGCTTAGAAACGCAATGTTGACAGGCAGGAGAAGCACATGCAAAGAAATAAAGATGACCAAAAGGATATCCCAGTACCATCTGAATGTACTGAATGGATGAATGACACCACTAGCCTTGGTGGTCTGTCTACGTTGCTCTAATAACACCGCTGCTTGGTTACCAAACAGTTTCAAGGCTAGTTTGTTATCAGGATTGGCGCTAAACAAATCTTTTAAGTAGTGCAATGGTCTGGCTTTAGTTGTTTTTTTCATGTTAAATGACGAGGCATTCTTGTCGGCTAATGACGCTATGTTGAGCAGGTTGGCATTCTTGTTCGTCAGCGCCTCGGGTTTCTGTTGTGGTGTAGGCCCTTTGAGGCAATAATAAAAGACTTTGAATATTTGGGATCAAACTATATGCTTTTGTTTCTCGATAACAGCAAATAAATCATTTATTGAACAGATCAAGTTGTTCAACAACTACAGCACAAATGCGCAGGACCAAGAGTATAAAAAAGATTCACATTGCGCGCGAGTGTTTTTGTACCCTGGGGCCCAGAGGTTATTGCATTCTCGCTCCRGCATTTACCGTGTTGACGAGTAGTCGCGAGGAGAATATAAATACGTTCAATATTGACTTACGACATTGAACGCGCCGTAACAATGGAAAGGTTTCACGCTCAATGATCGATAATGAATTATCCAATCACAGTTACCTGGCATAGGGTARGAGTATCTCTTCTGTCTTTTGTGTAGTATAACAATAGGTTCTTCCAGCACGGCTTCCTCATGGTGTTCTACGCCAAAGAAGTCCTTTTTCTCTATCTTACAGTGGCAGGGCAAGAAAAGCCCGCAGTCAGGGCATCTCTTTTCGTTCAAATCTACCAACGACATCTTATCAAAAGAAACACGTGACAAGTAAGCAGAATATGGTGGTCCGTACGGACCCCGAAGGGGACGTAAGGCCACCGGGTCTTTACATTTTTACTCTCGACTTGCAGACCATGTTCTTGCTGATGAAGGCCTAATCAGAGTTAATCAATCGAAACTCTGACGTCAAATTGATTTCATTACGCGCGCGCAATAATTGATACTTTGGGTTGAAACATGGGAAATAGAGTTRCATGTTCAAGGAAGTCAAGGTCGTGAAGACAGAAGAATAGTCATACATATAGGTGATTGTATTTTAAATTAAGAAGCAAACAAAACTCAAGAGGAGGAAATCATATGGAACTGTGGCAGTCAAACAACCAAAAGAAATAAAAGACAAGGAAAAAAAAAAAAAAAAA